CATCAGCCTTGTTGAAACATTGTACATTTGCTGTTTTGTTAAACTTATATTAAAGTTTTTCTTCATTACCCATTCATGCTGTCTCCAGCCATTATTATTATAGCAGTGTGTAATACAAATAGATTTATCTGTGATTTTAACTTGACTCAACTTAACTTGACTTTTAGTCTCAAAGTGGGTTCTTCATCGTCAAAATTGAAGTTCTTGTATTGTGTGGGAGATTAGTAGGGGGGATGGGTTTTACTTTCTCATATCCTGGAAACTAGTGTGAATTTGGTCGTGTTAGTGGGCAATTCAGATTTCAGATATTTCAAGGTGTTCAAATTTCTGTTTAGAATTAAAAAAAAGAAAGCACCAGAGAGCTTTGTTTCAGAACTAACCCACTTAAAATGTCTCCCTGACTTGCAGCCTGGGTGTTAAGTGGACTAAATTTTGCATTTTTTTTTACTTTTTACTTAATTTAATTTAATTTTTTACTTAATAATTCAAGAGAACCCACCAAAAAATAGAAACCATTACAATATTACTGTGCAGGGATAGTTATCGGTATTGTTGGTTTTTATCTTATTTTATTTTACACAAGAGAAATAAGACTGCATCTCTCATATTTTTATTTTCTAAAAAAGTTCCTTTTTTTCATCATATTCTTTAACGCTACTGCTTTTCGTTTAGACTCTGATGATTGGGATTACAGGCCTAGGCTTAAACTTCTGTTGCTGTCTTTGTGTTTTGACACTGTTTCACTTAGAAAAAAAATATAAACCATCATTACATTTCAACCTTTGGAGATATTTACAAGTTTTAGTCCACTACAGTGTTGTTTTTTTTCTGATCCACTGTTTTGTCTGACTTAGATTTATAAAAAACCAAAATTGTGTATCTTTTAAAATCAAATAAGATAATGTAATTTATGTGTATGGTTATTTTTCATATAGAACAAATATAACTTTTTAAGTAAGTGAATTATTTTTCTTTGTGAAATGTTAAAACAAGAAGGATTATAGTATTTACTCAACAAGAGAAACATATTTTACAATGTGTGTGTGTGTGTATTTATGGTAGTTAGGGTTAATGCATTATTTTAGTAACTAATTACTGTTATGATATTACTTTTATCAATAAGAAGGTATTATAATGAATTAAGCTATTAATGAGAACAGTAAAATTAGTTACTTTTCTCAAAACGGAACACAATCATGTAATTAAATTCTTTGTTGTACACTTACTTTAGTGGTCTTTTTATTTTTAAAGCCAAAGTAAGATTCATTTTTGAAGTTCTTAGTAAATAAAATGTCTAATGATGTCTCAATTATGATTTTCCATTGACTTACTGCCAAGACCAATGTCAGAAAACAACTCACAAAATGGCTTTTGTAGAAGTTTTATCGGCACAGAGTTTTTAGTTTTATTTTCTTCTGGCTAATTGCAAATATACACACTGTGCAGTCAGATTGACTGGTTTCACATGGAGCATAAAAAAAGAAATAACAGAGATTCGTAAATTAATTTTCAGATATGTAGTCAAAAATGTAAAGAATATCTCCAATATTGTTTTACATAAGAAGAAAAGAGAAAGAAATGTAACAGGTTAAAAGTAATGAGTAACATAATGTGCTAATTTTATATTAATATGTAAGAAAATTATTTTCCTCTTTCCTTAAGAAATGAATAATGATATGTTTTCCATTAACATGCCCAACACTGATATATGGGCAATGATAAGTAAAAAAAATGAAAAATCCAAACACGATAGTACAAGTTTCATGTATTAATGTTATAGGAAGCCTAATCTTGTTATTCAGTGATTATTGATAAAGGGTAGAATTCCACAAATATTGTCTAACTCGGTAAAAACTGGTGAATAAAATGAGGTTAGGCTTAAATTTTTCTTATTAAGATTTGCTATTTTGATGATAAGAGAAAAGTTTTAATATCTTGTACAATGGAATTGTATCTCATTCTACTAACCAAAGTTCAATACATGATGTACAAGAGTGATTAGAAGCAGTTTACATGGTAATCCTAATGTGTTCTATAATTTATAATATTTACTAATGAGACAGCTGTAAATTACTGCAAGAATGTGAGCTTAAAAATGAATGGGTAAATTTTATAAACATTTATTTAAAAAAAAGTACTAAGTCTTAAGACACATCTTAAAATACTGAAGAAACTATGCTTCTTCAATTATGTTAGTCATTTGTTTTCTGGCTGAATTATAAATGTGAAACTATTTGGTTTTTCTTCTGTATCGTAATCAAAAGTTTAAGAAGGCTCTTACATTTCAGAAGAAGTACAAAATATTAATCATTTACAAAATGTTCGTGCTCTTGTTACTTCATGAAGATCACTTGAGAGGCTGCTAATTAAATCTGTTACATTTTTCTGTGAATTGAAAATATTTTCATATTCAGTTTTACATTGTATCAGTGTTTAGTTTGTACTTATCTATATATATAATAATTAATTTTCCCATTGAGAGTTTCATGCAAGAATTACTTAGATATTTTTATACAGTTTTTATGTGATGTACAGTGCACATTTATTTGTGCTCTTTGAAAATCGTATCTAAGTTTCTTATTGTACTACATACTTGTTTAATATGGATAACTTGAGTACAGAAATCTCTTGTTTAGTTAGCCTTGCCTCATTTTCACTTCAGGTTTGTTGTTTTTGGAGTCTTCACTATTTTTACTTGATATTTCTGGAATTACAATAATTTTATGGAGCTTTTTGTGTATGGGTGTTATATTAATATTGTGTATGGGTGTTATATTAACATTGTGTTTTAATGAATTTGTGTATGTAGGAGTTGGAACTTGCCCCACCCGAGGTTGGTTTTGATCGAGTCAAGATGGAAGATTTATTGAAACGTCGGTTCTATTTTGACCAGTCATTTTCAATTTATGGAGGTAATTTTTAATGTGCTACTTGTTAAAATATAATATTCAATAGCAATCACAGACATCTCAATGTCAGTAAATGGTTTCCATTATGTGGCACGGAGGTATGCAGGAACCTTTGAAAAACATTAAAAAGAAAAACTTTATGCCTCAAAATTGGAGGTCAACCTTGGTGAGTTACCAACTTATTCCATTAGATAGCACTCAATGTTTGCATATTGTTGACTCACCTTTGAGTTATTTCTTGTAATTTAACTTTTTATTAATATAAACCACTTTGAAATTTTTTTTTCAAATTATATGTGTTAGTGTTATGTCATTTAAAGATCTGAATGGGAGTCAATCACTTAAAAAGGTTGGTAACCACTTCTTTGCACTATTTACATTTCAACTGAACACATTCTATTTGTGAAACAAGGAAAACAAGTTCCGACATGTACCTTACTTTTGCTCACATACATAGCTATTCTCATTCAGTGCTGCCCTCTATTTGCAAAATCCTTTTTGCAAGCCACGAGCTTTTCACTGCCACATACCTCTAGGTTCACGTGGTTTAACCGATTCATGCATGTAAATCATCATGTGACAAACCTCTCCACCAGTAGACTTGCCCTCCCACGCATGCAACTCGTGTTAATCCCTCTATTCTATTCTACCTAACTATCACTTCAAGTTTAGGCAGAAAACTAAGCACCAATGGAAAGTGGGGAAGAAGGGTGGGAAGTGTGAGTGGAAGTAAGCACCTGTGGAAAATATATTTTCAGTGTAGGAAAATAATAACTTTTACATTTTATAATAAATTAGACTTTTAGAGAAAAAAAATCACCTTTAAAAACTATGGTCATAATTTATTAACTTGGCAACTTTTAGAGAAAAAAAAATCACCTTTAAAA